TTTTAATCAATAAGTTTGATCAAAAGTAATATCCTTCAACGTGGTGTGGTGCTTGAGGCAAGGAAACCTTCAAGTGTTTACACTATAGCTCTTTGGAAGGGGGAGAAGTTTGCTTCTGGATAAGGAGTTTAGAAATCTCTCTTTATCAAGCTTTTTGGGCTAACTGTGAATGAGATAGCTTTGTTGTTAGAGATTTCTTCGTTGTGTTGTTGTATCTCATTATTTTCTCCAGTCTTCCAAGGATGCTATTTATAGTTGGATTGGATAATCTATTCGTTGAATCATAATAGACTATTCGTTGCATTTGTTGGCTTCAATTTTGAATGAAGATTGTGATTTGAAGATTCCTCATTGGAATGGGTGTTTGGACATACCCATCTGTTAAAGGAGAGATTCCTTTTTCCATAGAGTCCGTCTTCTAGCTGCTGTTCAAGTATTCTGGACTGTAGAACTTTACTCTGTTTGTCTTCTAGTCCTTGTTTAGGAATTCTGGACAGGTTCTTCAATTCTTAGAGGTTCAGACTTTGTCTTCGAGTCATTTGTTCTTGAATCAGCATAATTATCTTCAATCTAGCCGTTGAAAATCAAGAAATTGATTTTTCCTTACCAACGGGTAGAATTTCTTCATTCAAGACTTAGATAATTTTCTAAGTCTTTTCTCACTTGTCCGCTTTTTGAGAATTCTAGTCTTTTTTGAGGCATCCGGTTCTTAGCTGACAAATCCGGAGGAGTCATTCTCAGACTTCCGGGTGAGAAAGAGATCCGCGCTAGTCTTCCGATTTGGGTGACTTAGCCTTCAGCGGGTTGTAGCGAGACATCCGGTTCTTATGTAGTCTTCCGGATCAGAGGATTTTCATCTACTTGAGAAATCCTTACTTGTCTCTAGCATTTCCGATTAAGATATCCAATTTCCATATCACTGAATTTGATTAAGTCTTCAGGCATCAAAACGCTTAAAGAAATATCATAACCTTATTGGAAATTTCAAGAACTTGGTTTTAACAATATTTCTAAAAAGAAAAATTACATTGAATATTGGGGGAGACCTAAAGTCCCTATTACATTCTAAATACATTATCATCAAAATCTATGATATTTTTCCCAACAATTTCCCCCTTTTTGATGATGACATACAAGTGTTTAAGAGTTTCGGTCGCTTGTACTGAGAACTAATTTTGTAACTTTCTTTTAGTTTCTCATAATATACAGCTTGTTAACAAAAACTCTTAAACAAATATAATTCAAATTACAATAATTCCTAAACCAAGTCTTGTCTTGAGATTTTGTGATTTCTTACGCCATTGACCGTTTTCAGCTTCAGCAGATTCTGCTTGGCAGAGCGGTTGGCGTTGCGTTTGATAGATCTTTAATATCCAAAGTGGATATTTAAGATTTTGGAAGCAACACATCTCTCAAAATAAAAAGAAACATAGAGAGAGTGTTGTTCCAGAGAAGGTGTATGGTCTAATACTGAAAAATACGAGATTTCCACCATAGACCTTCTCTACTGCCGAGATTCTCACCATAGACCTTGAAAGTCTTTTCTTCTCAATAGGCTTCTTCCATTGTCGTCTATGAGGGTGAGAAAGAAAAATTTCTCCATTGAGGATATTTTTCTTGGTGTGTTTCTTAGACAGTGAGTTTGAGGACTTTTCATATTGAGAGAGTTGTTTGTGATGGAAATGGATTGAGATATCTTGATTTAAATAGGAGAGGAGAGGGTTCACGGGTTCCATTAATTTGGTATGTGGAACGGTGAGAGTAAAAGAGTTTCAACTTCCAAGAAGTTGAAAAGTGGAAAGAATCTTTTACCAATTACCAATGAGTTGAAACTGTTCCAATTTGAAAATCAGTTTCGTTTGGTTTGAGAATCATAACTGTTTTAGTTTGGCTAAGCCCAAAAGAGTGGCCAAAAAAGAACAGAAAGCTACGTACTAAAGGGAAATTATTCCTATTGGGTTCTCAAGGCCCAAAATAAAACTATCATTTTTCATTCCCTATAGTTCTAATTTCTACTTTGGACGAGGTAGCACCAAAACAAATATGAATATTATTTTTAAAAGAAAAATGGTACTATTTTTCCAAAGTCCTGTACATTTTAAACATCCGAGGGACCAGTACTTTTAGAGCTTGTTGGAAATGAATTAAGGACTGAAGCTTAGTTTAAGAAGGCAGATTTTGTAAAGTACCTGAATCGGAGATTTCCAATTTTAGTACCAAAACTGAGATATCCGTCTTCCATTGCTTAGAGCTTATCAATAATTCACTGCCAAAAACAATTGTTAGCCAAAAACTAGTTAAGTCCCCCCTGAAATACATTCCCCCTGAATGTATACAAAAAAAATTCTCAGAATCATACTTGAGATAAGCATAATCAAGCATAATAAGCATAATTAAGAAAATTGTTGAAGCAATATTGCAATGTTTAAACCAATCAAGCAATGTTTAAACAAGAAGGTGTTTGCATCAAAACACATTAGTGTTCTCACATACTTTCCCCCTGTTTTGATGAAAAGAACCTTCAGTTTTTATTGCGCTTTGAAGATCCGGCAACCTCACTGATGCCCTTCATGTTTCCACACAGTTCTTTGATACGCCTTAAATTTTCACGTCTCTCTTCTGATTGAGCATCATTTGAGAAGTGGTCAACAACTGTACCTATAAATTCTGTTCCATCCAGTCCTGAGCTGGATAGAAGCTGTGCTAAGTTTTCCGGATTTCTTTGCTGTGCTTCAAGGATTAGATTTGTCAAGTTCAGATGAGAAGGAATATAAGATACTTCTCCTTCCTTGACTGCAATAGGGAGCTGTGGTATTGGAGATGGACTGTGTTGTTGGAGAATTACTTCCATCTTGCGGTTTCCAGAATTTGCGCCAATAAGTCTGAACAGCTTGTATGCTTCCTTTTGATTGTCAATGATGACCTTCAAGTAGTCTTTGGTCACTACCTGATTTGCAGAAGCTACTGTTAGGGCTGATCTGATGTCCATTTGGAGAAGGGACATCTGTTTTTGGAGACTAACTGTGACACTCGCTATTTGCTCTTTGACTTTGTTGATTTCTTTGAGTTGAAGTTGACTGTCATAGGCATATATTTCCATCGTGTTGCTCACAGTTTCACTCAATAGAGAGATAATCTCCAGAGTCTTCTGCACTGATTTGCTTATTTCTTTGAGATCTGCGCTGTGTTTTCCTTCAGATTTCTCTATCAGCTGGGTGTGCCTGACTTCCATTTGCTCTATCTCTTGCCTAAAGGAGGCATGTTGAGATGCTAGGGCTGATTCAATCAGCCCTTGGACCTT